TCTCTAATGAAAAGAGCAGCCCTCCGGTCTGGTAGGATTGCAGTAATTTAACAAGAGTAGTGAGTGTTATTAGTAGAATTATTCAGTATTTATCAAAGACCATCATTTTTACATTATGGAGATTGTTGGTCAGATTGCAACAAGAGTGCTGCACTGTTTTGGTCACTCACATAAAAAGCATATCGCTTTTCAGTTTCAAAGGCCTGGATTCAATTACTCTTGAGTAACGTGAACATAGAAATCAAGAGATAGAGATTTATAAAATACGTACAGTGTTGGATTGTGTCACTGTGAATAAATCATCTCAGTTTATTCGATTGGGGCAGATAAAGGAACTTGAATTTTATGTGTAAGAATGGAATTGACTAGATACTAGGTGTTCCATCTTTTCCCAGAGAACAGTGACTCTTTGAATGCATTGCCATGATGTTCTCTTTCCTTCATGGTAAATGGAGGAACCAAGTGTGTCATGTGATCTGTTATGAGTTCTGACCAACAATGAACCTCTGTGGCTTGGTTACCATGAGTAGGATTGGGTGACTGGCTCATAGAGACTAACAAAATATGTGTGCTATATCTCACGCTGGAAAACAAAAACAACGGCAGCTGTGCTGACCATGCACAACAGAGAGGAGAAAGTTGGGGTCCTCTATTAGCTAGCAGGCAAAATGCAGGAGAGAGGCATTCTACAGACTCCTGAAGATTTGTCTGGTAAGGCCATGAGCAGAAATTCTCAACTGAATCTTACTGCTGGTACTCCGTAAGCTGAAGGAAGTGCTTTACCATTGTCAGTCAGTGTTATTGTTTGGCACAGCAGAGAGACAGAAACCCATGGGAAGCTGGAAGTGATGGTGAGCAATTTGCTAAAAAGACTGCAATCTTGTGAAGAATGTGCTATACTGTATATACATAAAGTGTGGGGTTATCGGTCACATTATCTCAATAAAGGTTATCTTTTCTGTAATTTAGACTATTCTTGTTCTTGTGTTTTTGCAAATGCACAACTAGGGAAGTAGAGTGGGTTTTAAACTAAATAAAGGGACAAGGGCTCAACTTTGAGAAGTTGTGAGGAATTAAAGAGGGGAAAGTGCAACAGAGGAAGGAATTAACGTGTGAAATGATAAACAGATAATAACAGGAAGGGACAGAGAATGCAGATCTAAAAGCAAATTAACAGATAAGACTACAGATTACAAAAATAATAAAAGTTAAACTTAAGGCACTATATTTGAATGCACATAGCATTCAAAGTAAAATTGATGAAATTATAGTACAAATTAAGATAAATAAGTACAATCCAGTGACCATAACTGAGACGAGGCTATGCGACAACTGAAACTGGGACCTGAATATTGAAGGATATGTGACATTTAAGAAGGACAGGAAGCTAGGAAATGATGGGGGATTAGTTAATTAACAATAATGTTAGCATAATAGAGAGGAAACCAGGATACAGAAGCAGTCTGAGCAGAGGTAAAGAATAGTAAAGGCAAGAGGTCACTCATGGCAGGAGTGTACAGGATCCCTAATAGTAACCACATGTTATCAATTAAGTAATAATGGGAGCTTGTCAAAAGGGTACAGCAATTATCATAGGGAATTTTAACCTACATAAAGACTAGAAAATCAACAGAGGAAATGTAGTCTAGGTGAAGAATACATTGAATGTTTTCAGGATAATTTCTTCAACCAGCATGTTATGGCACCAACCAGACATCAAAATGTAATGACCTGTATTGACCAATGAGATATGATTAATTATTGACTTCGTATTTAAAGCACCGGTGGATAGCAGCAACCACATTATGACTGAATTTTTAATTCTGTTTAGGAGAGAGAAGTGTAGGTCCAGGATTATTATTTTGAATCTAAGCAAAGGCAATTTTGAGGGCGTGAAAACAAAGTTAGCAAACGTTAACCACCAATTTGGGTTAAGGGACTGGTCAATAGGGATGCTGTAGTAAACATTTAAGGGGGTATCCCAGAAATATCCCAGAAATAGCCAAATAGATACATTCCAAGAAATAAGAAAAATTCTAAGGAGATGGGCCTGTCATCCATGGCTAACTAATAAAGTCAAAGATTGTATAAAAATCAAAGAAAAGACACATGATTTTGCAAAGATAGGTGGCAGATCAGAAGAATGGGCAGAATATTAAAATAAAAGCAATGAGTTACTAAAAGATTAATAAAGATGGAAAAATGAGAGTACAAGAGAAATTTAGGCAAAAATATAAAACCAGATAATAAAAATTTCTTTAAATATTTAATGAAGAGCTAACAAAGTAAGTGTTGGTCCTATAGAAAATGAATCTGGAGAACTAGTAAAGGCAGATAAAGAAATGGCAGATGAATTAAACAGATATTTTGCATTGGTCTTCACTAAAGAGGATGCAAATAGCATCCCAGAAATAGCTGTAAATCAGGAATTTAAAGAGACAGAGGAAATCAAGAAAATTACCGTTACCAGGAAAGTAGTACTGAGTAAATCGTTGGAACTGCGAATTAATAAGTCCTCAGATCTTGATCCATTTCATCCTACGGTCAAATTCATTTTCAGACTCACAGAAGATTAGTACGCAAGTACAGCAAATAATCAGAAAACTGACAGAATGTTACTTTTTATTGATAATGGAATTGAATATAGGGAGATTGTGCTTCAGTTATACAAGACATTGGTAAGACTGCGTCCAGAGTACTGTGTACAGTGCTGGTCATGTACTTACAGAGATGTCAATACATTGGAAGCAGTTCAGTGAAGGTTTATTAGACTAATACCTGTAATGAGCCTTATCAGGAAAGAATAGACAGGCTAGGTCTTTATCCTCTGGAGTTTAGAAAAGTTAGAGGATACTTAGTTTAAACATATAAAATTCCGAGGGGACTTAACCAGGTGAACGTTGAAATGATGTTACTTCTAGTGGGAGAATCTAGAATTAGGGGTCAGAACCAGAATTTAAAAATAAGGGGTCACTCATTGAAGAACGAAATGAGAAAACATTTTTCTGTCAGGGTGTTGGGTTGGTTTCAAACACGTAAAAGGCCAGAGGGGAATTTTCTATGGAATCCCTTACATTCCTAGGCCTTTTTCTCTGTAACTTTGCCCTCCCATAGGATTACATAACTGTGGGAATGGCTGGGAAGCAGCAGTCATGATGATTCAGCAGTCTTGGCATGATGCACGTTTGATGAACCAGCTTGTTTCTTCATGTCCATCAAATCTCTATGTTCATTAAGCAATTGTTCAAAGTCCATCTGAGCAGACAACTTTGACATTTCATCAGAATCAAAGGTAGAATTCTGACATTGCAGGACTACAGACAATTAAAATTAACTGCACTAGATGCTACACAAAGAATTTTGAATCGTGGGTAGTAAGTAATAGCTTAAATGGTAATTCAAAAGTAAGTAGAATACTTGTGCACGTTTTAAGAGAAAGACTACTTAAATAAAAGGTGCAGGTAGGCAGCATTCAGTAACCGTGAATGCCTTATCAATAAAGTAAATGATGCATATTATCTTTGGTCACCAACCATCATGAAGCTTTCAGCAAAGAAAAGATGTCAAGTGGAATGAACGTCTGCAAACTGACAGATTCTTGCTTCAAGCATCATTAGCAGCCTGAAGCCAAATACATTGACACAGGGAAGTGCAAGCTGTTGCCACAGTATGTGCAGTCTGGCCCATTTTATAACCAATGGAATTTGCTAATCATTCTTTTTGATGTGGTGACATTTTAATTATTTATTATCGAATGCCATTAATTTTCTGTATCTAACTTTTGTGAAATGATGTTCCAATAACATACTGCTCAAACTTAAAACTTATGTGCCTCTAATTTTCAACCAGTGTTAGGAGTACTTACTGCAGGGCTGTGCAACGGTGTGGAAGCACCCTGTGGTTTATTTAATTACTGATTAAATGGTTTGGTTTGATGCTGCTGTGGGGAACAGGCCACAGCAGACAGAGGGTGAAGTTTGCTTTTTTCTGGAACTCTGTGCTTCCTTATTGGAAAACTGAAATCCAAAATTAAAGAGCATGGAAGGAGGTAATCAGGATCTAATAGTTATTAGACTCAATATTAAGTCCTGAAGGCTGAAGGTTCTTCAGGTGGAAGATAAGATGTGAGGATCAGCGCGAGCTAGAACAGCATTTCATCTTCTGCTCTTCTGCTTGCAAACCCTGCAGCCTTCAGGACTCAATATCATGTTCAATAATTTGAGAGCCTGATCTCCTCCTTCCATGTTGTTTATACATCCCTATACCCCAGGCCCTGTCGTAACATGGCTGTTTTCAGCACAGTCAACACATTTTCGCCTACTTCCAGTCCACATTATCAGCTTTGTTCCTTCCCTCGCTTGTCATCATCGATCCTTTTGTCTGCCTAACTACGTTTCTCTCTTTTTGGGCACAGTCTCCACCTACCTGCCCACTCCTCACCCTGCTCCTGCCCCCCAGTTATCACTATAAATACCACCTTTTCCTAGCTACTATCAGTTCTGAAGAAGGATTACTGGACTCAAAATGTTAACTTTGCTTTCCCACCGCACAATTTGTGGAACTCACTGCCCCAGAGTACAGTGGAGACAGAATCAATCAACAAATTCAAGAAAGATATAAATATGTTTCCAATGAAAAATGGATAAAGGGCTATGGGAGTTGAGACTACGATAAAATCAGCCATGATCACGTTAAATGGCAGAGCGGGCTCAAAAAGCTGAATTGCCTAGTCCCGCTCCTAATTTCTCTGTTTCTATGCCGTTAGACTTGCTGACTTTCTCCAGCAATTTGTGCTTTTGTTTCAGATTTCCAGTGTCCACAATTCTTTGTTTTATTCCACTGCATGTGGAGTTATTTGAGATATTTCTGAGAAACATAATAAAGCCTTGTTCAATTGCAAACGTATTCATTGAGATTTGAACCACTAACAGGAAAGGCATTAAATTTAACTATCTGTTTGTACTAAACATTGAGTATCAATGAATGAACAAAGTACTTACAGTAATGACTCCACAGAAACGGGTTTGATAAAAATAGCAATGGGATAAAGTTGAGCGATTTGTAACCGTTTTATAGCATTTCCTGAAACATCAAGTATGCAATGTTTGCCCTAAAGGAAATCAGAAAAAGCTTGTTATACTTAGTACAGCAAAATCTTCTCTATTGACAATTAGTGGTGAGAATCATTTCGCATGCACAATAATTTGCATTCAAGGTTTAAAAATGATTTGAAGAATCCTTTATAATTTATTTCCTGTAGCTGTCTGATGCTTCCCTTTTAATTGTGACGATACTATGACTTTAAGAGGTGCTTTTTATCCTGATTTGATTTGAAGAGAGATTTTAAGTCAGAGATGATGAGCTGTCTATTTGAATCCAATAAAGTAAACAGGTTTTTTTTAATGTTGGAATGATAGAAATAGCTTGAATGGGTGGGCCAAGCTCCCCTAGAGTCAGGATTTTTAATTTTAGTTTTCAGTGGCAGTTGCTGGCATCTGGGTTTGGAAGCTGCAGTACATCTCTCCCTGCTATTCTTTCTCTCTCACACATGCACACACAGACACACAGACACACACACACACACACACAGACACACACACACACACACACACTGGAGAACTGTAAGTGACACAATCTATTTTACTGAATTTGCCTTTCCCAAAGGTCTGTTTATGGGATGTTACCATATTGGAACAGTTACTGTTTAGTAGTTAAATAATCTATTATTCTGTAAACTATTCCAATAGAGTTAGGTTATTCCAATTTCTTGTTTCTTTCGTTATATTTTAACTAAAGTGTATGAATAAATTGTATTCTATTTAAGACTGGTAGAATGACCAATTGAATTGCATCGGGAATGTAACATCTGGCATTTACCTTTAAAATAAGAAAAAGTTAGGGTCTAGGCTATCTTCTCAATGTATTTTGAGGGGGTTTGGTCTGGTCCATAGGATAATTCAAAGACCATTGCCTTTGTGGAATATAGGTTTTGCTACTGAAATAACAATGAGGTTAATAGCATTCACTGTTATAAAAGTGTAAGTGGGACAGCAGCTTTTAGTGACTGCAAACACTCAATTAATCATGGAATTAAGAAAGATGCACTAGAGTTTACAAGCTGAACATGTTATGGCACTCACTGTCTCACTATTATTTCTAGCTTCCAGGCCTAACTGGCCAAGTGTGACATTCCCACAGACACCTGGGAATCGTTGGCCCAAGACCGTCCAAAGTGGAGGAGGAGCATCCGGGAAGGCGTCAAGTACCTCGAGACTTGCCATCGGGACAAAATGAAAGCCATGCGAAAATAACAAAAGGAGCACGCTGCCACACCAAGGCCTCACCCACCTCTTCCCAAGCCCACCACATGTCCCAATTGCAACAGAGCCTGCAGTAGCCGCGTCGGCCTGTGCACCCACCTATGGACTCACCCTGCGAGTGGAAGAGAGTCATCCTTGTCTGCGAGGGACTGCTGCTGATTATTTCTAGCACAATTTTCATCCTCATCCTTTATATCTAGTATACCATCCAGAAAAGTTTTCCATTCTAGTGTATGTTAACTCTTAAAGCGATGATCCATTTGCTAAACAACCTTCTTGACATACTGAAAACTAACTTGTTAAAAGCGTAATTTCTCATTCCACTAAATTTAGATTTTTGTTGATTTTTTAAAAATCAACTTATTCTTTGTCCCTTATATGTTTCCTTCAATGTAGTTTTCTTTTTCCTCTTCATTTTGTTTTTTGAACCTGAATTGACACTGAATTAAATATTCCAGCTGCGACTTCATGGTTTAGAGCCTGTGCAGCTCATTAATAAACCTTTAATTTGAAGGATTAAGGAGATAAACTTGCTTGTCCTGCCCAAATATGGCACAGATCCCTTCTAGAAGGAGATGCACTAGAATAACTCTCTAATTACAGTAGGTTCAGATGCAAAATCGATGCATTGGCATTAATTTCTCGCACAGTAAAACATGGCACAATGGTATTGTTGCTGACTTACAACTATGTGTGCAGCAAACAGAAAATAAATCATTTTAAATTACTTCCAGAGAAGTTCCATCGCATCTTTAACAATTGTGTGAATTGTGATTTCTGCTATGGTGACTTTTTCCAAAAAATAATTTGAATTTCAGCAAAAACTAAATATCAGCTCCAAAGCTGTGTGAGACCTGTGACTTTCATCAATTTCCTATCTCTCTCATATATGTAAACAAGTTATTTTGGAAATGACTGACCCATTTGGCGTAAGGAAGACAACACTTAAGGTGTCACAGCATTTTAATCACTTACTGTAAAAAAACTGAATTGTTATTCTTGTGCATTTTGCTAAATTATTAAGACAATTGTTATGTAACCCTGCTGATTTAATGTTTAATTTTAAATTGTGAAGTAAGTATCTTCTACATCTATATTAACATATGTTATGTTATTAATACTGTAATCATTTATTCATTCAAAATGGACTTAAGTAACAATCAGATAAAGAAAACTTTAACTTATTGTATCAATCTTGCAAAAGGTTATCAATATTCGAATTTTAAAAGCTCTACTTTGCCAAGTTTGAATTACAAGTATTTTAAATTATTTGAAGCAAAAACATTGTTTGGAATGTTTTAAGAATGATAGCAAAGTTTTCCTCAATAATTATTTATTAATTTGATTTGTTCATTACATTGTCAGGTGTTTGGAATGATGGGTCCGGATACTACTACTGTACTGTTTTGGCCTGAATATTATATAACATTCACTGATTGAAACCAAAGTGATTTCTATAAAAGACACAAATAAACGTAATTGAATATTGCTGAGAAAAGATACAATTATCACAGCTTTTTGTCTTGTATTTGCCAGGATAATTCATAAGAATTACGATTCAAGGGGAAATAAACTGGCTGACAGGAGGGGATTGATTGGCAATTGGAACTGTCAAATGAGCTCTCTTTCCTCAAAGTCCTCACTTAGAAATCAGCCAGGAGATATTCTACTACTGTTTACTGCAAATCTGCCTTCACAGGTCAGTAAACAAATTGAAATTCCTATGGTTCCATGTACAATAAGACTGGACTTTATTGGCAACCACTAGGGCCTGAGCTATGGGTTTACCCTGCAAACTTGATACTGAACTAGGACAAATCAAAGCCACCTCGCAATATAATGGCAATCTGAATCAGATCATTTTATGCTGCTTATCATGTAAACTCATGAGGCCTTGAGGTGGTCACTATTAGTGGAAAAAGTACTCGGTCTACCTCATATTATCCTGGAAAGGTAAGATACATGAAAAATTTGAGCAACAGGTGAAATGAGAGATTTCATGTTGCTACTCTGCAGTAGTGACATGAGTGGTGTTCACCACTAACAGGATGCTGGTGTCAAGCCAACATAATTTTTTGCTTATTACACAAATGGATAATGTGGTATATGAATTTCAATGCTCATATGATGCCAGGTTTATAGGCTATACATGCCAAAGACTGGCAGATTGTTTCAATCAGCATGCCTTTTTGGCTGTTTGCAGCAAGCAAAGTATTTATTGTTGCAACCAGCCTGTGTTTGCAAAACATGCAACATAATATCTAACATAAATGCAATTGGATAACATTCTCTGGATATTCCTAAAGAAGTACGCTGACAACCAATTTGGTATTGTCAATTGGGCTCACAGTGTGGTGCACTTGTATATACTGGATGCTATTAATATTAATGCACAATGTCCTGTGATTTGCAACAATATAGGTGACAGACACTCACTGGTTCATTTCTCAGGGCAATCCCTGACCAATCATACCAACTTATTTGGTTTAAAATTTAAATAAAGTTTGTTGGTTAACTGTCAATCATCATTAATTGAGTTCTGAAGAAGATTCATAGAGGATTCAAAACCTTAACTCTGTTCTCTCACCATAAACTTGCTGAATTCCTGACTAGTGATTTGTTTTTATTTCAGATATCCAGCATCTGCAATACTTTACTTTTATCATTATTCAGTGCATTCTCCATTGCAGCACCTCAAAGATTCAGAGAACACTTGCCAACCAATCAGCACTCTCTTCTCATGCAGTATAAATGTTGGTTTTCCACTTGAATTGGTATTCTTGCAAGTTGTCTTGAAGAGTACAAGATGAAAAGCTGTGACAAAATGTGTCTATTTTCAGTAATACTCAAGTTCTGTACTACAAATTGATTATTGACAACTATAACCATTCTGCTTCTGGAAAATCCCATGAATAAGATTAGAAGAAACTCTGGATCTGAAGCAAGGCACATTTGACCTGGGAGACCTTGATGATGATACTGCAAAAAAGATTCATTTTCATTCTAGCATTGTAACTAACATTCTAACATTAGCCCAAATTCTCTTCGACTACCTCAGAATTTTGGTAAAGCAACAAAAAAATGTAGGAACATACCTGTTCTGCTACATATTTTACAGACTGGACACTGGTTCCGTATAGATTATCATTATATTGTCCTGCTTCAATAAACTTGTGCTCCTGGATGTCCTTTTCCATCTGATCTCTACAAGTAACAAAGTGATAGTCTCGTCCATCCATTTCATAATCGCGTTTTGGTCTTGTGGTATCTTTGTAAAAGAGTGTAAAGAGCCTAAGTTAGTATTTTACAGTAGAAAATAATTACTTGAAACTTTAACAATACGAGCACCAATATCAACAGCAATATTTTTGTTTAGTATAAAAATAAACAAAATGTCTATAGCATTATGTAATATGGTATTTTTGTCTATACTGTATTGAATTTAAAATCCACTTTAAATACATAAATACTGTGTTCTATATTGACAGCAATTCAAAACTATTATCAAGACAATTTTTTTAGACAACCTGAGTAAAGTTATATCATACCAAAACATTAAAATAGACTTTTAGATGGCATAATTTCATGCCACATGAAAAAGCCTTACAAAACACTAATTTTTTTTTCATGCACATAAGGGTGGTTATTTCCTGGCATGCATTGATAAGCAGTAAATTACACCTTAGAAAATGTTAATCTATTTAATGAAACAGTATTTATGTACAATAGAACTCTGTTAATGGGAACACCTCCTGGTTAAGCAATATGATTCCTTCATCTGGATACTTCTATTAAACAATTACCATGAAAGGATACGCACTAATTGTTCTGGCTAAGATGATACTATATGATGTAAAGCTATTTTGCCATCTCTAAAACCAACCAGTGATTACTGGCAGTGAAATCCATTTAAATACCTTGAAACCAGATCTGTTATACAAATATAACAGTAAGGCACTGTGTACAATGTTGTCAATCATATTAACTAATAACATTTATTTTGTATCTCCTTTAAACTTTTTTATTTTCTTCCTATTTTAACTTTCCACTTGCTGTTTTCTATACAAGAGGCCAGATGGGTGCAAAACAGATGAGGTAACCTACATAATGATCTTCTTTCCTGAAACTCCAATTTGCATCTTTTCCAACACTAAAGCTGAGAATAACATCCCATTGTATGATGAATAAAGGGGTTGAAAACAAATTATATAAAAATAGCACAGTATACTAGCTGCTTGCTGCAGAACCTTAAACAAATTTTGGCCACCAACTGATTACATTTGCTGAACAGTCTGCTTTAGAACTATATCCATGTAGCAACAACATTCATCTGGGTTCTTTTTGAAATTCTGCATGCTGCAAACACAAAACACGTTTGGACAATAATTTTCTGATTGTAGCCAGGATAGAGAGGCTACTTTGCCCTGTATGATGTTCAGCTTCTTGAGATTTGTTGGAACTGAACTCAACTGAGATGTTCAATGAATTGACTCAGTCAGTGAAAGGGAAAGGGTGGTAGGTCGATTTAGGCACTAAATTGACTTGGGTATGAAGGGCTATGGGAGTTAATAAGAGAGCATAGGGGTCTCTTGGTGGGGAATAAGGACCTAGTTGTGTGAAAGAGAGTGAGGGGTAAGTGAGCAGTGAAAGCTGGAGGAATATTTCACATCTTTTTCACTTTTTGGAGAGCTAAGTTACATTTTGTTGTTCCTGGGACACCTTTGGTGTAGATAATATGACCCTTGGTGCAGGTAATATAACCCTTGGGATTATGAAAAAGCATGATTGTGTGAAAAATGTACATAAATTCACTGGAAGGGACAAAGTTGTCAATAAACTGTTAAAAAAAATGCTTGGCCATATAAAACCATTGAAGCATTTGTGCTGCATGATTATTATCCCAAACTATCATTTTCATAACAGGGCATTTATTGATTGGTTGGCAAGTTTGGGGCATGGGGAGTGAGTGGGTGTCAGCAGAAGGGATGCTTTCTATTTTAATCTTCAATTTTCACTTTGAGTACACTGTTGGAGTCCCCCACATGTTCTCCACCTAACCTGCCTCAAGAACTCGCAATCTTTTAGGCTCCTCCTGCGATGCCTGGTCTGACTCCCAATCAATTCATCATCATGGAATGAAAATCCAAAGCATTGGCTCCATTTTTAAAGCTCAGAGTTGTGAAACCAGGGTTTCTCTTGACCTTCCCAATCTGGGAATGAAAATCGAGACGTACAGCTGGGAGGGGCAAAAGATAAAAAAGGAACAAGACAGTGCTTCCTGATTACTTCTTTTCAGCCGGCAGATTATTATTCAAATTGCATGCACAGTGTCACTGTTATTTACTTTCTCAGTCATATGTTATCATTATGACAAATAGAAAGCAAGAGCTGATTAAAATGGCATCTTATTGCATCTCTCAGGTACAGGGACTGGAGGGTTTGAGTTATAAGGAGAATTTGGATAAACTAGGACTTTTTCACTGGACGTTGAGGGGTAACCTTATGGAAATCATGAGGGGCATAGATAGGTGAATAGCAAAGGTGTTTTCCCCAGGGTTTGGGAGTTCAAAACTAGAGGACATATTTTTAAGGTGAGAGGAGAAAGATTTAAAAGGGACCTGACTGGCAACTTTTCACACAGAAGGTGGTTTGTACGTGGAATGGACTGCCAGAGAAAGTGGTAGATGCAGATACAGTTAAAACATTTAAAAGACATTTGAACAACTATGTGAATAGGAAAGATTTTGAGGGATCTGGGCCAAATGCAGGCAAATCGAACTAGTTTAGTTTGGGAAGCTTGCTCGGCAGGGACGAGTCGGACCTAAGGGTCTGTTTCCGTGCTATATGACTCTATGCTCCAAATTCAAGTAAATACTTCAATACATTGAAGAATATTCATTGGTAGAAGTTATAAAAGTAGGTTGGTGGGGATAGGGAAAAACTGATTACCATGTCTCCACAAGTGTAATTCTGTTCCATAGTGAATTACTCTTTCTCACATTTTTCCACTTCTCTATCATATAAGTAACAACTGTCTTATCTTATGATTTCAATAACAATATAAGGGAGACTGTAGGAATACACCCATGTTAGATTAATTCACAATACCCTTAAATTAAGTCTTGCAGCAATAAAATATATTTTATAATATACACAATGTAGCTAAGTGACAATTTGTATAGCAGAAAACAAATTAGAACATGTTACACTGTTTGCTATAGCATCAAACTGATTACTAAATTTGAGATAGTAAGAACTGCCGATGCTGGAGTCAGAGATAACAAAGTGTGGAGCTGGAGAAGCACAGCAGGCCAGGCAGCATCAGAGGAGCAGGTAAGTTGACGTCTTGGGTCAGGACCCTTATTCAGCAATGGGGCAGGGGGAAGGGAGCTCCAAAATAAATAGAGGAGGGGTGGAGCTGGGGAAGGTAAGTGGGATGGTGATAGGTGAGTGCAGGTAGGCAGTGGTGGGGATTGGTCAGTAAGGTGGGAGGAACGGATAGGTGGGAGAGAAGATGGACAGGTTGTGTCAGGTCAAGGAGGTGGGATGAGAGGGAGGGTTGGTCATGGGATGAAGCCTGGGGTGGGGAGATTTTAAAACTGGTGAAGTCCGCATTGAGACCATTGGGTTGTAGGCTCCCAAGGCGGAATATGAGGTGCTGCTCCTCCAGTTTCTGGGTGGCGTCATTGTGACACTGGAGGAGGCCCAGGATGGATATGTCGCCCAGGGAGTGGGAGGGTGTGTTGAAATGGAGTACTAAATTTGAGACCCTTTGCCAGTGTTAATGATATTATGAGGTTGGATAGTGACTGACACACAAACATAGAGGCATAACATATGTATGATTACATTTTCAATTACATTGCTGGTCAACTTCCCAAATGTGCTTCAAACAGTATAAAAATTAATATAATTATTTACTGCTTAAAAATATAACAACTACTGGATTAAATTGTTGTTAAAGCACCAAACTGATTTGACTCAATTTTCCATTTGTGAGAAATCAAAGTTTTGAACAGAAGAAAGTAAATGTAATCCCTATGTGTAATCATTTCCATGGTAATTCTCGCTGCCCTTAGAGTCAATGCAGCCTGTTATGCTATATCATAAATTTTCTGAAAAAAAGCTTCTTTCTTTCACTCTCTCCACAGAAACTCTCTCAAAATTACTGGGATTTATAAAATGGTACCTCCAAACAGTCAGCCATATGTATCCATTGGAAATGTGTTAGTTTTGGTTTTCCCAACTTTTAAGACATGTCACTGGCAATCCTATTATAGCAAAGAGACTGTGGCACAAAGATGTAGAGGCTACCAGCTGGTTGGCTGCTGAGTTAGCTGGTTGTGGAGCAGTATTTACTAGCAAGCATTTGCAGTCATTGCCAAGTATGCCAGTTTAGGCACTGAAAACGATATGGAAGGCTTTTTTTCTATTCACTCACGGGATTTGGGCAGTTAAAGTGCATTACAGCCAAGTAATTTCTTCTGCAACTCGACACCCAATTTATGCTTAACATTGCAAACAATGGTCAACAATGATTACAGAAACAGTTTTAATCATTTTGCCTGAGGAATGAAGGTTGTGAATGGAGTAGCTCAGTACTCCCAAATAACAGTGATGAAACTAGCCCTAAATCAATTCAGTTGAGCATTGCATTGAAAGAGTTGTCTCTGTTTGACTGAAAAAGAAACACTGAGGTAGGGTAGTTCGTATTTTTTAAAACATGAAGGGAATCATTGGAAATGATGCGAAAAGTTTCAATGCTGAACCAGATGCTAATTAAATTCTGGAATACTGATGAACTATTGGTGGCAAACCTAAATCTATGGTCTGACTGTTAAGGGAGGTGGGTCGGGAGGAAGAAAGAGAGAGAGAGATTGATGGATTTCCTCCTTCATTCATCATCTAGTTAACAGGTAATAGTTTAAACAAAATGGCTAACAACTTTGTCACCAGAACAATCCACAGAAGTTGTGATGTGCATTGAGGTTATTACTGCTGCATTTTTACACACAAAAAATCTGGACACTGTCTTAAATATTTGTAAAGCATGCCAATAAATAAATGTGTTAATACTTCAACGTAAATACAAAGAATGACAGAAATATTTGCAAACAAAGCATTCATCAGAAGTAATTCATCCTGATGACATTAAAAAGTGCCAAGTATCTACTGTTTTTAACTCTAACCAGTGACACTGAGCAGATGGAAAAGACATCCGCAAAAGCTAGCAGTTCCCTCTTTGCATATTGGGTCTTGATGACATCA